CAATTTGAAAAATTATTCTCTTGCAACATCTTTTGAGTGATCTATTTACCCACAAAACTTATAATACAATAATTCTATAAAAACATCAATTGTTTGGGCACCTGAATATTGGATTTCACGATATTTGCCAAGAGCATCGTACCAATCTTTAAGAAAGCTAGTAAGCGTTGCTAAAAATGATTTTATTACAGAGGCGTGTGTCATGTTGGGCCTCTGTAATTCTGTTGAGCACCATGTTTTCATCTCTAAGAATCTTGCATTCCATAATGATGGAGGATTATCATCAAAAGTGAATTTGACTGAGGAAGTATCTTTGCAAATCATAGTTATTCACAACATGAGTTTCATAAGCATTAACAACTTCATCAATAGTTTTTCCTGGTTCATTAACAATAGGATTTCCTTGTTGAGTTTGACTTGGTTGTGGATTGTTAGCCATATAAAAAGGACGATGATCTTCTAAAGAATCATCCAAGGACTCTTCAAGCTCAGAATTGGTTTCATTCGTGACAAATAAGACTAGAGGTATGTAAGGGGCATGGTTTTGAGATTTTTGTAAGAAAATGGTAATGGTGTATTTTTTCACCATTTGTCATCATTTTTCAGGGTTTGATGAAGGCAAGGCTTGTGGTCATAGGAAGAACATATTTCAATTTCTTTTCCCATTCTTCATGGTAAAGAGTGAGGCTATGGATCCAAAAGCTCCAATTAAATACATAGGACCAGATATTTGTGAAATAGGGAGATATGGAGTAGGATGGTATGGAATAGATAGTGGAATCATAGCATTGTTTTCAAGAGAGACAAGTTTATTTTTGAGACTCTTTATTTCTCTTTCTTGGTTTGCTTTAGGGTAAACAATTTTGTAATAGGGTCATAATTTCATTGTGGAGGGTCTCCATTTTTTTACAGCCTGGGGAATGGGGTTCACGTTATTTGAGTTTTTTGTTATAGAGTCATTTTAATTCTTTGTTGACTTTGATCAATCATTGTCAACGGCACTTTTGATAAACTGCATTTTCTGAGTATTAGTTGAAAACTATCTCAATTGTCGAAATTTGGTCAACCAAACCATATGATTTTTTGGATGTGGGATTCTTGATTTTCCAAGAATGGGTAGAACATTCTTTGTCAAAAGAAATGAGTGGATGAAAATCTTCCTGTTGGATAGGACAGAACATAGCTATAGGCATAGCTGATTGTGAAGATGGAGTTGAACTATTATCCACTCATATTCTTTGTGTAATTGGTTGCAATCATCATCATCATCAACATCTGATCCAGTGGGATTTATGGGGGGTGGAGTAAATTGGACATAATAGTCGAACTTTCCAGAAGGTTCCCCTAAAAACCAACTCTTCTCATACACTTGCTTGTGCACCAATCGAAAAATATAGAATCTAATAATCGAGGACATCAACATATATAATTATATATATTTCCTCGTGCTAGAAATTATTTTGATTCTCAACCTTTCTCATACACTTGCTTGTGCACCAATAGAAAAATATAGAATCTAATAATCGAGGACATCAACATATATAATTATATATATTTCCTCGTGCTAGAAATTATTTTGATTCTCAACCTTTCTCATACACTTGCTTGTGCACCAATAGAAAAATATAGAATCTAATAATCGAGGACATCAACATATATAATTATATATATTTCCTCGTGCTAGAAATTATTTTGATTCTCAACCTTTTGTTTTAGGTGCACGAGTAGAAATTATTTTGATTCTCAACCTTTTGTTTTAGGTGCAACAACCTCGTGCTTACGAGCTAAAATAAGTAATTACAAAAGAAAATATAAATATACTTTTAGGTTATTGCGTTTGTTAAATGGATATTTTTATGGATCAATGTACTTAATTAGGTTAAAATTCGATAGAGTGAATTTACTTCCTTTTCTTGGTAATGTTTTCTATTAATTTCTTGAAATTCGACCGCAATTCAATTAATTTCATTACTCTGTAGGTAAAATCAATAGGCGATAACTACATTGAAATTGTTGGTTCTAACACCTTTTCTCATATAATCAATTGTTAAAAGCTGGAATTGTCCATCATACCACAATTTTAATTGTTTCAGTAGTTCGGAATCATCAGCATAACTAAAATCACTCCATTGAACTTTGTCTTTGTCAAATAGAAGCTATGTTTATTACAATAAATTGTTGAATAGAAAAATTTTCATAGGACAATAATCTAGTTCTTAAGTTTATTTTATTACTTGTTTGATGGTTTCGTGCACTTACAATTTTATCCCATCGATGGTCAACCTCATTAAGAAAAGTAACACAAGCATTTTATTGTTGTTCATTGTTTTCATTTATACTCGATGCATGTCTTTAAAGTAGCATGTGCTTTTGAGCTTCAGACGAATTAACTACTCAATTGAATTTTTGAATATTGAGGTTCCATTTTAAAATGTCAATTTTATTAAAAAGATTAATATAAACTCGTCTTATTTATTATTTTCAACTTTACTCGACGAGGCTGTTTACCCTTAATAAAAACTTTATTAATTAAATAAAGACTATGCTAAAGTAAAAAAGAGAGTTTATAGAAAAAAGGGAGGGATCGAGCAAGCTAAATTCAAGAATGGGTAAGACTTCGGCGAAAAGTATTATATTATATCTCAAAGAAATAATTGGAATTGATGATAGTGAAACCGTTAGGTACTTAGGTGAGCTGAAAGTTGTTTAACATTTCAACAAAAGCAATCAAGATTGGACGTTTGGACAAAGACATTTCTCCTTGTGATATCATAAGATAATATGGGGGAGCAAGATCCATCAATTTCATTTACTTTTTCATATCATTAGAAATTTCACAATGATTAAACTTAAACCCTATTTGATTTTGCTAAAAATTAAATTTTTAGTATATTATGTTAAAAGTTGATAAAATATTTGATTGAAGAGTAAATAAAAGTTGTGGGCCTTATAAAGTATATAATTTAAATTAATTATTGACTTTGACTTAACTTTTTATCAACTTTTTAATTAAAATAATCGAGAGCTTGACCGTTTCTTCCATATAGAATACTTGCTCTTTATATTTCTGAATTTCTCCTCGGTGATAATTTCATTAGCCAAGAAACTTCAACAGTTTCAAACTTGGGATTCTAAGTTTTGAATTCGATATTAAAAATATATATATATATAAATATAGGTCTGACCATCTTTGATATTGTAATAATATAGAAATAAATATGATCATGTCCAAAGGGGTTGTTCCCATAAGTATCCTAAGTTGCTTTCATCTTGGAAATTAATGATGGTATCCAAGGATTGTTGTGATGAAGATATTGGTGAAGACTGTGCCATTTCCATCCAAATGAGAGCCATAAGATTCTTTTGTTGGCAATGCATGTTCCCGAGTTCTGCTTGTGTCTTGGCTAATTGTTCTTGGAGCTCGTTGACTTGGTGTTGGAGTTGACAAATTGTTCCCGTACATCCATATACGGGATCCCTAAGCCTGGCATTCGCTTCATAAACCATGCTACTCACAGCATCGGCTCTTTGAGACTCGGGCAATTCCTGAAATTTTAGTGCTCGATCATTTATCGCAAATTTTACACTTGTCAGGCAATGATTTTATGAGATGGTGACTAAATTTTGTCAAATATCTTTCTTCTTCAGTTCTATGTGATTCAATTTTATCCGTAAATTTTAAAATAAATATTTTTGTAGGGTCGAACTTGACAATAATTGATAACTAACTTTACTTGTAAGTGGAAATATGCTACTAATCGATGTTTGAAAACAAAAAATTGGTCAAAGGTACGAGTTACTTTCAAACGTTTCTATCTACCTACCCGCCGTGTGAACTATTCTATTTTTCAATTCTCGATCGATTATTATTATTATTATTATTATTTTGTACATAATTCTCAATTGTGTATCTGGCTTATCTCCTATGCATTTACACAAACTAAAAATGTCTGCAAATCTACTCCAAGTTGACTAAAAATGAGTTTGCCATCCAAAAGTGAAGCAAATAAAAAGCATAAGATTTTAATTTCATTTCCGTCATTCAATATTGCTTGGCATTGTGAAGTCTACCGTACCAAACAAGTCATAAAATCTTTGATATAGAAGACAAAAGTATAAGATGTATATAGTATGAGTATACCTGCAAAAACTTGATTATATTGCTCGCGCCAAACACCCGATGAGCAGTAGTGAACTTCAGTGGATCATTTGGAGGAAAATAAGGCGCCAAAATGCATTTTTCAACACATCTTCGACGTAATATCTTGCAAGCAGCACAAGGGCTTAACACCACAGATTGTCGAGAAGGAGAAGGCGAAGACGAAAGAGAATGTGATTTTAATTTTGTGTCACAGCACTCCATTGTTAAGAGTAGAAAAATATGTGAACAAAGACTATGTATGGAGATAAAGAGGATTTTCCTACTGACAGTCTGCACAAGGATTAGGATATATATAGGCAAAGGAGAGGAGATGGGTATGGGCCATTATGTTTGGAAGTCATCGGCTTGCATGTTACTGTTTAACTCCAACAATAGCGGGGATCAAAAGAGATATAAGGATGAAAGAGTAACCGACACAAACGAAAAATGTAGACAAGTGTTAACTGAGCGAGGAAGATATGTTTCAAACGTGAAAAAGAAAAATCTACGCTCGATCAAGGAAGACATTATACTTGCTCGTAAGTCATTGTACGACAAATTATGTTGTATCAGTCATAGTAGGTTATGAAGACTTCCAAGCACACGTTTGTGTATTTTCTTGCAAGTGGACCCGGTTCAAGAAAAAAAAAATTGAAAATCTCATTACCCTTGTAAATTACTCGATTTGTCTACATCATTATAGATTATCAGAGACATTTTTAGCTAAGCTTTAGTAATAAAGGCTAATATTCAACAAGAAAGCAGCCTATAAAGAAATAAAATTAGAAAATTGATGTCATGGTCCAGATCGACTAATTCTTCATGAAAACAACATTAAAATGGTAAATTAGGATACGCAAACTCAAAGTACCATTAAAGTGAAGAGATTTCAAAATCATGAAATACGTTAATTTGGTATATGTCACACTAAACAAGATAGCATACAAATTTCACAAGTTTCTAATATTCCTTTTAAGTCCATTTGCTAGGAGACAGCTATTTCTAATTTACCGGTGATTATCTACTACTTTTCGAGCTGGAAAAGAATAACTTTTAAATTACTATGAGACAAATTACAAAACATGTGTTCCAAATTCCCAATTTCTTGTTCTTTCGGCAAAAAATAAACTTAATTGGATCAAAATTGATTGAATTTGATTCGGTTCAGTCCAATTCTTTTATGCTTCAAAAATAAATTTTTTTTTAAGTATATAAGTTCGTGTAAATTTCTTCGATACTTCCAATTTCACGTGACAAGTACATTGATTAATACTTTAGTTACACATGTCAATTTATGTAAATTGTGATTTAATTGAGAGATTATAATTACAACCGAATTAGGATTCTATTATGTAGATTTTTCTAATAACATGATCAGAACTATTAACTTCTTGGCACTAAGATATAAAATTGTATAAATACAGATCGTTCTAGACCAAAATGCTCGACCTAAGCATACGCGGTTGATTAATTGACCAAATTTATAGCATTAAGAAAGGAAAGGTAAGGCTTAATTATATGGTCACACATCAATCTTATCATGTTCATATGTATTTATTGTGGACTTGGACTCCTTCATACGGTGCTCTTAGCATTCAATACCAGTGAAAAGAAGCAGTTTTATTTTATTATTATTTTTTTTTTTTATACCCAAGTGTCCGTCTTATAGTGATTAATCCTGCGACTTACGATCCAACCCCTCTTCACGCAGACCATTTAAACCGCGGGTTGTGTCCCAAACTGGCCAGGGTCCAAAAGCCTTCCCAACTGAACTGCCAAAGTACCGAACGAGTCAAACTCATGTATGCGCCTTGCCTTTCAGGAGAACTCATGCCTTACAGGAAATATCCCGCATTCCAAGAGAAAGCCTGCCTTCCAAGAGTCTCATGAATTTCGAACCCGCGACCTCTGAATTGCCCGCCTTGAAGAATTCCGTCCTTTACCAGTTGGGATGTGCCCCGAGGGACATACCAATCAAAAGAAGCAGTTTTATGCATATAAGAAGAGTAAGATTTTGAATATCTTCCCCAAACACGTACTAGTTAAGCCTTTCTTTCTAATATGATGACCTTGTTTAGAGACCAAGAAGTTACTTTAAAATATCATTAAATAATTTTTTCAAAATTACTTTGTCAGACCAGAAGAGTTTTAGATGAAGCCGTTGGAATTTATGTGACTTTAAATCTCAATAACATGAAAATATAATTACTTTATTGCCAAAAACTTCCATATCAAATCACCAAGATAATTATAAAGTGCGGAACTTACCTTAATTCATTGGGAATGTTTCTTTAATACTGGATTTTGATTCTGGATCTTGAATCTTGAATATTAACTCTTTCAATTCTTGAGTTCTTGATCTTGGTTTTGCTTCTTGATCCATATTCTTGATTCCTGAAATCCTTCTTTTTTATTATTGATTGTAAATTGTATGTTTTTTTGTTGTGGAATTTGGATCTTCCTCTTCAATATATTTTCTCTTGTATTCTTATGTCAATGAGATAACATAAGAAATGAGATATTGCATATGAATTGGGGATCATAACTCTATATATAGTTTTCCATATATTTTTCGCCAATCATAAGATACAATTCTGAAGGAATCTAATCTCTACACATATAATCTGACCCATACTTTATTTAGATGTAGTAAGTCCAATAATTTATTTTTTTATTAGATTACTTTAATTTTTGGCTTCACTTTAAGATGACCTTATACACAATTAATTACATATGTAGGCTCACATCACAAATTAATAATTTTTCAACAGAAGTTCTTCTACAAGAAGCAAAATAAAAATAAAACCTCTGTCAAAAGGAGCCTTAGCCTGATTAAGAAGAACCAGCTACAATTACAAAGGACCATAGTCAATAAAAGTTCACATAAAAGTAATTTGAATTACCTTTTAAGCTTAACCAGATGTACTAAGGTGTGATGCTAATTAGTTGTCATGTGAAGCAATTGGTAATTAAAGAATGCCAACGTATGTATGATGAAACATGTCAACAGAGCTTCAATTAGGTCTAGTTCAGATTTGCGTAAATTTGGCTCAGAATAAAATAAGAACTTGCAATATTTTTCAAACTCATTTCATTAAACTAATAATAATCATTCGTAGAGTTGTTAATAGTCTCATTTGATAATTAAAAAGTTAGATAAGGTCACGTGCATTAATTTCTTTTTTATCTTCAACAAAATTCCTCACATACATGCTGATTTCATTTTTTTCACATCAAAAGCGTATACAATTATTAATAAATGAATGACATAATGATCTTTTGATTGACTTTGGTACCATATTCAATTTTGAATTTCCAATTATGTTAAGATGAGTAGTTCAAATCCTTATATGTTTAATCAAAGTGAGATCTCGGCAAGATGGTGATCCATTTGTAAACGTTAACCTTCAAGTCGTAATACTCATTTTAGCTTTGGACGTATTAAATTGCTTGTGTGACTTTTTTGGAATAATTTTTGAAACGAGGTGATTAAATGTACGAGGACTTCACAAAGAATTTCACATCAGGGAAGGGCCACACGGTTTAAGCCAGAAATTGGGAGATCAATCTTGGAATTAGTTTCCCAGTATTGATAAAAGTTGATCTCCAGCTGTGATTCTAGAACCAAGTCCCATATTTTATCTAACGTATGACTTGATTGAGACAAGCTACCTCAGTGAAATATGTTGGCCCTCATAAATAATTGGATTTAGAAAGAATGGGGTTTGAAGAATGAAATGAAGTAAAAAGTTAACGGATGCAAATGGCATTTTCAATATCTTTGTTGAACATTAATCATGTCAGCAGTTGATCAGATGTCCTCAAAATTTGTAATTGCTTCGTGTCATTATGATACAAAGGAATTGTTGGAAGAACAAAATTTAGTGGATGCTGAGTGAGAATTAAAATTAGATTTTTTTAGTTGATTATGATAGAAATTTTTAAAATATGTGGTTGAATAGTTGTGAGACCCATAAAAAATTTGGTTAATATTGATTGTTTGACTTTAGATTTTAATCCCAACCAATTAATGTAAACCCTCTGTTTGACAATTTTTTTTTTTATTTTTTTTTTTGAAAAAATGAGTTTTTGAATTGTAAATTTTGAAAGAATGTGTAATTAAAAAGTAAAAAAAGTTTTGAATTTTACGTGAAAATTTTTTTATTGCGAAAATATATGATTGAAAATGAGTATGAGAAAATGATGGTCAAATATGCTGCAGAAAATTTAACATCTTTAACTAGAGCTGCTATGCCGATAGATCATGAATGTGTGGGTTTCTGTTATAAAGATACATGTCCAATGTCTACAGCATTTAATTAAGGTGAAATCAATTCCATAAGCACCATTACATTAAAAACTACGGGACATCAGCATGTAAAAATAATGACTTTTGAGACCGTTCCTTCATGAGAAAACACTTGTAACAATACATGATATAATAAAGGTTATCCTCAAGTCAAAATATCAACAATATGGACAATCAAGTTTATGAGTTACATGGTTCCTTTTGTGCTGTTGTTTGATTCTCGCGGCTTTGCTCCGGATTCCACTAGGTGATTGTTCTCTCTTCGACGACGTAACTCTCTAGACATGAAGGAGATGTAGCAACACTGCCATTTTTGTGAATGTGAAGAACCAACAATGTCTTTGCAACACTACCACAAAGCCTAAGGGTGCACTGATAATCAGACCATACCCTCAATCGACCATTTGCATTGTCATCTTCTGCAGATAAAATGAGTACAGCATATTCAGAATGTACCAGAGTCGGATGATGGCGATAGGCAACAAAGTCCACTCCATACTGGGATCCTGCCCTTACGACCCAGTTCTTCAGTCGAAGATGAGAGTATGCTTTAAATAAATTAGGAAAATTATTTCTCTTGGATATTGCATACTTTCAAAATTCGTCATCATTCTTTAGACAGTTATCTGCACCTACAACCTTTATACATTTTAGCATGTAGGACAAGTAAAAGGCTTCCTCCATGCTTAATTGAAACCACTGCTTATCCTTCTCTATGGTGACGATAGGATAACCAAAACATGCACGATTAAAGAGTTCGATTTGTTCCACATTTGCTTCAACTAGTACACTACAGCCGGAGAGCAATCCTTGAGAATCAGCTTCAATTAGATAGCTTTTGAGCCGGGAAACTATCTTTGACATGGGATCTTCAAGCGCTCTGGCTTCTGCCCCCTTCCCTTTCCATCTGATCCCCATTATCTGTTTAGTGGTATAAAATTTGAAACAGAATAACTTAAAATATGCCAATTACGATGCTCTATTGTTATTTGGATGATAAGAAAAATTGACACCAACAATATTATTTCCAATTATAAAGTTTGATTGAATAAAGCATTTCAAACACATTATGATGTGAAACTGGAACAAGAACAGAAAAGTACTACATATGGCAAGAAAAAAAGCAATTATCGCTCAGTAAATTTACAGAATTTCAGTTGAAGGAAAAAAGGATT